ATGAGAGAGAGAGGATGAAAACACCCAGTTTCCATGCAAGGCGAAGAAAGACTGATAACCGCTTCCTCCTGAACGCATAAATTGGGTTTCAAGCCCAAGATGGCGATCGCTTCGTCAAATTTGAGGAGGATTGAACTCTATTGTCTATTGATAATTCTGAACAACCTTTCGACGTTCACTTTATGACCTGTCTCAATGAGATAATTAGCAGTGGCACTGTTGGAGGCATTTGTTCCCTTGAGACGTTGGTTTTTCGGTATATGTTCTAAAAATCGAAGATATGCCCTTCTTTCTTATCACGCAAAGTAATCGCTCCCGGAGGTACATGCTAACTTGTATACACAGTTGGAGAATCTGTCGACCTTCGATTGCACCAAAGAAAATGTGTCCTATAGACGGGGACCAGCTTAGTTGAGGGACAGGCTCTGACTAGTGGGGTCCTCAATCTTCTGTTGCCAGCTGCTGTGATATTTTCACCTTTAAAATCAAGTTGAATGAAGATGTGTTCTTTTCCATGATGATTTCATTGACGTTTGAGCCTTCATATCTTCTGTACTTGTTAATTAACCTCTGAGGGTAACCGCTGACTTTCAACATCTTTCGAGAAACATAAAATCTTCCTCTAACTTCTCTATAGAGTATATTCTCCTAGTCGAAAGATCTTTCATAATCATCATTAGACAATAGAGTTTAATCCTCCTCAAATTTGACGAAGCGATCTCCATCTTGGGCTTGAAACCCAATTTATGCGTTCAGGAGGAAGCGGTTATCAGTCTTTCTTCGCCTTGCATGGAAACTGGGTGTTTTCATCCTCTCTCTCTCATTTGACTACGTAACGCCGAAAATTCCATCGTGTATGATCATTATTATTGTTGTTTGGAGTTGTGTGATTAATATTATTACTATTATTGCCATTGTAGGCATATATTCATTGATTTTTTGTTTAAGAATGAAGTCTCTGTGTAAGTATGTTAAAACTGTTTCTGTACATAAACTTAACGATGTCTTTGGATTGTAAGCAGCTGAGCTGATGAGAAGCCAACGAAATAACTGGTGGTGGTACCATTTTATTATTCTGAACAAACCACTGTTATTCTTGCCTTATTAAACTTTATAAAATAGGAATAAATATATCAAAATTATTATATGAAGCGAAAATATTTAATGTCCACCAAAAATACGGAATTCATATAATTGGTACAAATTGAAATAATCTGTCTAGATTACAATTTAAAAAACAAAAATTGATATCATAGTTAAATAAATTCAAACACCAAAGAAAAATTGACTGAGAGAGCCAAAACAGCTGTGTGTTATAAAAATTATAGGTACTGGAGAGTAACTATGCGCTGCTTTGTAAATTGTCTGTCTGTCTGTTTGGCACCGGTTGGTTGTTCGGTAATATTAATAATAATAATAATAATAATCATGTGTTAATTTTTTTCAACATAATTGTAGACACGCAGACGAAACGAGGTTAACAAAAATATACCAGTCCTAGGATTTTATGGTGTGCTTACGTCGGCTAGACGATCATTGGAAAACCAGTCAGGGATTAGTGGATAGCTGTTTCGTTCTACGTTGGGACTCTCCAGCAGTAGGCACCCACAACCTGCAGGTTACAAGGCGAAATCATAGACCATTTAGCCACTGGGACCGAATCCAATGGCTCATGAATTACAACTGGAAATCAACACTTGAATATCATTAAAACAATTAGTCCCTTTGATAAATTTGAACAAGGCATTAAGAAGACAAATTTCGCGAGATGATATCATTTCGTAGTTTCTTTACAACCGCTTTACAACTAACATGGTTAACAATTTCTAAATGGTAGAATACACCAGAAAAATGGTTTATCAAAAGAACACCACGCCGCACTTAAGGAATTAATCCAAAAAGATAATCTTGTGATCCTTAAACCTGATAAGGGAGAAGGCGTTGTCATTATGAACAAATCGGATTATCAAAATAAAATGAACGATATCCTCAAAGATCAGTCCAAATTTCTGCTGGACAATGCTACTGATAACGTGCTGCTTGTGGAAAAGCAGATCAATCGTCAGCTTCAGATTTTACTGATGCATGGTTTTATAAATGAAAAACTTTATAAACAACTTAAACCAATTGGGTCACATACTCCTCAGCTTTATGGTCTTCCGAAGATCCACAAAACTGGGAACCCACTGAGACCCATCTTAGACATGTCAAATTCTCCTTATCATAAAATCGCCAAATGGATTACAGAGGTCCTTACGCCTGTAAGAGACTCATTATCAAATCATTCTGTAAAAAGTTCATTTGATCTTACAGAAATGCTGGACACCTTGAACATTAAGGAAAAGGTTATGTGTTCAATTGACATAGAATCTTTATTCACCAATGTTCCCCTTCATGAAACTGTTGATTTTATTTGCGATTACATCACAAGCAACGGCATAAACTTACCCATTCCCGTCACTTACATCAAAGACATAAAATATTAGATTCACATTCCAAGAAAAGGCATATAAACAAATCGATGGTGTTGCGATTGGGAGCCCTCTGGGGCCCCTGTTAGCAGATATATTTATGTCGAAATTAGAGAAACAAATGCAAGGTATGCTTGGAGGATTTATGCTGTATAAACGTTATGTAGATGATACTCTTATTATTGGTAATAATAGTAAATCTATTGAAAACTTCATTACTCTATTTAATCATATTCATCCAAATATTCGAGTGACTTCCGAACTAGAATCGAATAACAAACTCGGTTTCCTGGATATTACTATGACAAGGAGAAATGATGGAACGATTCAGCGCTCTATTTTTCGTAAACAAACATGGACTGGACAATATCTTCATTTTACCAGTTTTTTTCCTATCCAGTATAAACGTTCCCTAGTGAAATGTTTGTTCTCAAGGGCCCGAAAAATATGCACGAGTGACACACTGATGGATGAGCTTCGACATGTACATTCAGTTTTATTAGCTAATGGTTATCCGGAGAGCTTTATCACTTGTCACATCTCGAAAAGACAGCTTCTGTACCAAAGAAAGCCATCTTTATTAATCTACCATTCAAGGGCGACCAGATTATGCAGTTGACAACTCAAAGACTTCGATCAGCCATCAAACGCACATTCTACGCCGCATCTCTTTTTCTCACTTGCCGAACATTTTCGATCCCTGTTCCTACGATTAAAGGACGAAATTCTGTGGACTCTACTTCAAACTGTATCTACAAGTTCACCTGCAGCTGCGGTGACACCTATATAGGTAGAACTAACAGAATGTTCCAATGTCGTCGAAAAGAACATATTCCAAAATGGCTAGTAAATCATATCGAAAATCCCAACGCGATTAATCTTAATAGAAATCCAGCATCATCCATTGCAAAACACTTATTAATGTCTGGTCACAAAATAAATATTAATGACTGTTTCACAATTATTTCACATAACTCTAATTCAAGGTTATTGAAGGTGATGGAAGCACTTTGGATTAATCACATACAGCCTAAACTGTGTGTACAAAAATCAATAGACTTCAATCTTCGCCTACCCTGGACTGCATGACCTATCTTAATATGATTGGTCATTAGTATGTACTTTTGTTTTTATTTAACTGAGTAATTTTCATGAACTTTATTTTATCATTGTTAACCATGTTAGTTGTAAAGCGGTTGTAAAGAAACTACGAAATGATATCATCTCGCGAAATTTGTCTTCTTAATGCTTTGTTCAAACTTGAATATCAGTCTGATGCTCACTAGTTACGGGTTCTATTCAAATAGGTAGTCGTGACCAGTGGGGTGCAGCAGGTCTGGAGTGGGGACAAATACTCACCAGCGTTGGCATTGGCTAGTGCCAGTCGTTCTATATCGTGAACTGGCAGAAGTTGGAATTCATGAAGTGGCCATTGGGTCGGGCCCAATGGCTGAATGCTCTGTGAGATCGTCTTGAGACCAGAAGGCTCTGGATTCGAACCTCGCGGTGTAGGTGAGTACTGCTAGAGGGTCGTAAACTAGGCTGACGAAATAGCTGTCGAGTGTTCACTGACTGGTTTTCCATTGGTTCTCTAACTAATATCAATCAGTAGTTAAGCTTCAAAATGTGCGTTTATTACCACTGGAAAAAAATTAAACATAGATGAGTAAGTGACAACAAGGAGGAATATTGGCGGCAACGACTATGACACTGTTTTCTGACGTCGTCGTTATGGTCACTCTGTCAATTCTTGTGTTAAGAAGATGTTATGGCTACTCCAGAGTTAAATTATAATAAATAAGGAGAAATTTTAAAATGTCTGTGGCTACTATGTGTATGTATGTGTGTCCCTTGTATACTTGAGTACAATTATATCAATAAACATGTGTACAATATTGGTGGATAGTTAGTTAGACAGACACATAGAGAACTATAAGCCAGAGAAGTAGTATGTGTGTATTATCACCCACTACAATTAACCAACCAGAAACTGGAGATAGAGGATATATCACCTTATCAATACGCATTTTTAACTAACTTATTGACTCTATTATAATGAATGGTTAGAGTTTATATAAAATGCATAGGACTTATCATGACCAATTCACTCTCTTTTTAGGCTAGAGGGAAAGAATGAATGTATGTGAAAAAAATGAGTTTTTCTAATTCTCTTTATGTGTATGTGTGTATGCAGAGAAGCAAATAGATTATTCTGAGTTTTTTCCTCATATGGAAGTTGTCAATGTTTATACAGCAGAGTTGTATATCAACAGTTCAATTCCAAATTGAGTTATACTCACTATCTAAATAAATGAGAGAGTAGGAGAAGAGGAAAAAAAAGGAACCATTAGCTGATTGTTAATAGTGGGCATTACAAAAACCAAATCTGTTCTTTTCTACGCAATACTGTTATTACTGTTATCATTACTTTTCAATACAAATATATATATATATATATATATATTTATGTATAACAAGGTCATCCGTATATTTGAAATAAATCACATTCATTCATTGATTCATTTATTACACAAATTATAACAAATTATTTCTGGTGAATTTTCTATCTGTATTTTGCGCATTGTTACTATTATTAATTTTATATTTAACAAGAACTAATATTGATTGAACACCATTGAACACAGATTTTACTTACCTTTATATTTTATTCACTAATTCAAATAAAACAATTGTGTGGAAGAAAAGGCGCGCACAGTATTCAAATTAAATATTGAATCTTGAACAATCCCTGAACATTAAACATATACACATACATACATAAATAAAAGTAGGAACAGTTAATAATAATAAGAAGAAGAACAGTGATCGTTCAGCTCATTTCCTCCTTCATTTTTTACTACCATAAGGAAAAGCAAAAACTATAAACAGGAAAGATACGCGCGTGTGTTTTGTATACACCTGTGTATGTATGTGTGTGGATGATAAACAAAGAAGTAAGCCAAAATTTGATTAATTCATTTTTATTGTTAAATCGTACACAAAATTTCATTTTCACCTTTTTTTCGTTGCTTGGTATTTGTATTTGCATAATGTATTGAGTGGTACATTCAAATATATCTGTTTTGCTAGTGGTAACGCAATATATCGTGAATTGGCAGACGGTAGAATTGGTGGCCCATTGGACTCTGTCATACAGGCTGAAGGGTTAACGATCTTGCCTCCTAAATTGACGGCTGTAGGTTTGACCCCCGGGAAGGCTGGAAGGCATTACTAGAGAGTTTCAAGCCAGGAGGAAACGGGTGTCTGGTAAACTCAGGTTTTCAGTGGTTCCTAACTGATACTAGTCCGTGATTAAAACTGGAGCCAATCAAATCTCAAAAAACTAATACTTAAAAATTCAGGTAAATTCATGGTTTGATCAATATTAGAAGGGAAGAATTGTCAAGAGCCTTTCTGATTTTAGTGATTCGCTAATCAAGGTTGATCGTCAAGATACCCACTCCGAAATTTTTAAAGGCCATTGAAAGTTGGATATTTATTTTCAAATGGCTGCATAGAAGTGAAAAATAAAGGAATTCTTTTAAAGCTCTCTCTGGTTGTTACTTCATATTTCAATTACACTATGGGATAACTCGAACAAATCGCACTTACCATCATTATAGAGTTATTAAATTTTCGTGTGTTATGAAGATACAGAAAAAGTTGTGGTGGAAACAACACCATCCAATTATTATTAATAATAATAATAGCAGGTGAGGTGTGAGGACAAATACTCGCCGAAGACACTGGCCAGTGATCGCGCTATGTCGTGAATTAGTAGATCGGGTCCCAGTGGCTTAATGGTCTATGAACTCGCCTTGTAACTGGGAGGTCCTGAGTTCAAACTTCGTGGTGTGGGTGCATACTGATGAAGAGTCTCATACTAGGATGAAAAGTTTGTTCAATGCTCCCTGACTGGTTTTCCAATGGTTTTCGAAACTGATGTCAGTTCATGATGAAATCCTGAAATATTATTATTATAATATAGGTAGATATAATATCTAAGTGAGACAGTCTACAGCCAATTGCCATTTGACACTAAAACACGTACACATATGCATGAAATCAGACGAATATTAAATGCATAAATTACCTTACACTCACATAATACTACTTATAATGGTTTTCAGCCTATTGGTTGAAAAAGAAAATACTATTCATATGCGAAGCAAAAATAGATGATAAATTTAGATGAATTAAAATTTGTTTGAAACTTGAGTGATTTGGTAGTGTCTGGTTTACTCTTTTCCTTCCTTGACTTACACATGAGGTTTCATTAGCCATGATGCTGTTTTATATAGGGGATGAGGGTGCTAACCTATTACCCAACCTTCCCTCAGCTAGTGAGATAGGTTAAGCGTTAGAGTGAGTTAGTTGGCCAGAAGTCGAAACAAGGACTCTGTGTGGCTTGGTTAGCGAGTATTTTACAGCTGGATCACTGAAACACCTTTACTGTATAATTCCATATTTATTTATTTTCAAGAGTTGAGCTGTAGGGATTTGATTTGGTTCTTTTCTCAAACTTGGCCACGAATTAATATCAGCACTAGACAACCAGCTGTTTCGTCAGCCTAGTTTGGGACTCTTCACCAGTACGCATCCGTCGCCAGGGTTCGAACCCAGGACCTTCTGGTTACAAGACCATTAAGCCATTCGGACCCGACTAAATGACCAACCCATTTATATTCAATAAACAGATTAATACTGAATGGTTAGACCCAACAAATTATTCAACTAATCGATAGAGTTGGTTTATTTCAACTGTACCCAAATTACGTGCATTATTATTATTATTTCAAGGTAGATTTCATCAGGAAACAGTCTCATCTACAGTAACACTGTAAAATCGGGAGAGCTGATTTGTGCTCGGCTTGAGACACTTTAGCAATCTGCATTCATGACTACACCAAAGACCGGCACCTAGGACTCAGTCTGAGACCTAGAAACGTCATAATTACTGTGTAGTTCATAGCTGTTACAAATGAGTTTTCCATTGTCGCCTGTTTTTCATTAGTTCCTAATGACACTTCCGGTTTATGATGAACTTCACCTTGATTAGTTCTCAGATAACTTACCCATCTGCCTGCTTTCTTGTTAATGAACTTAACAACAACAACAGGAACAGAAACATGCAGGCATTCAGGTTTACGTTAACGAATAACTGAGTGATTGACTGATTGACATCGCCTGCCTTTCCTGACTGTAAAAGCCAATGAGGTGATTACTTTTAAGTTAAATAATTAAAATGATTAATTACATTAGTAGTAACCTCGGTGTTTGTCTCTCTTTATTCCAGGCTATAAAACTGTCAGCCTTACAATAATGGTTGCCTTAGTCTGCTTATTATGATAATAACACTGCTGCATACTGCTGAAAGACAATCGATAAATTTGTCTTATCTAAAGAGTGGACTATTTGTTTATCTTACAGTGTTATACTATAACAGCTGCCTCAATCAACTATGCCACTAAAGTTTAGCAACTGATCGAAACTAAGGAGCAATAAGGCTGAAATTTTGGTGAAAGGTGAATATTAGTCATGATGGTCCAGGATTAGTTTATATTGTCTCAGTGTGTTTGTTAACCTATCCCAAAAATATCAGTTATCCTGTCAAAATTCCGCTGCTTGTATGCGTTTCACTAACCTCAATTAATCCATTATTCATACAGTAATCCAAAACTTCGTCTTCCTTAAACTCCCTAAACAAGTTTAGAACAGGAGCTGTCCCTTGGTTTGACTGTACCACATGTCTCTCCAATCTGCTGTCGGTCATATACACGGGTGGCTACTACAGTTTAACTTAGCCGCTTATACATTCGAATTATTAAAGATTTCAATTAACTAAGCCACAGAACGGACTTGAGTTTCAGTTATGATGTGAGCGTGTGTGTGCTTGTGTTGTGTAAGTATTTTACTATAATATTCTCAGTGAACACCAACCAGTTATTTGGATGCCTGTAAACAGTCCGTTTCCAAGATAATTATATGGTAAACCACTAGTGAAGGAAAATAATCAATAATTGATTATTGAACCATTTGACACTGCAGATATACTACTGAATTGATAACGATACCCACTCGCCAACATTTTCATCCCTTTAGGTCTATGCGTGTTTTATTCCTTCCACGGGAGGACTAATTAATCGATAATTTAATAATGCATGCAAAATCCACATAAGGACATTTAATAAATTAAAAAAAGTGCTTCAGTGAAGAGACTCTTTTGAAAGCGACTACTATCAATCTGTACTATCATATATATATATTAGAACCTAATATACTTAATGCAAAACTACTGGTAATCGTTAGCAAACCTGGAACGCTGGACAACTGCATCGTCCTTGTCTAGCAATCTACATCAGTATGCAACGAAGAACCAGGAAATACATCGAACTCGGGATATTCAGATTACAAGGCGAGTCAGTGTATCGTAAGATAGAATCCACAGGCACATCAATTCTGCCTTGTATCTTCCATGACTAGGTCAGGGAAGTGAATGAGGCAGAAGAGGACCAATGAAGTTGTCTTCTACTCTCTGCTATGCATTAGTTGTCTGAATGAAGTCATCTCAGGAATGAGAACGAAAACAATGCAAAATGACTGAGAAACAACACTGGAAATACTTAGAATACTATCCATCAATCAGCTGTGAAGACATTTCACCACAGTTTTTAGAAGTCGTCTCAACGTGTGCTTTGAAATGCATGTATGAAACAACATGGATCACATGAAGTGAAGACGAGGCAGTGCAGCACCAAAGGTGTTTGGTTACTGCGATTTGAATGTATATTTGATAGACGCATTTTGTCCATATCTGTGTATCGAGTTTCCAAGAAAGAATGGCGTTGAGAATTCCTCTTGTCCTGTTGTTTTATATTTGGTGTGACTTCCTTTGGAGATTGGAGATCCCGTGGCCTGCTGCTTTCGAAAAGGTAGACATAAGGAGTATCGCGCTGGACTTCGATGCTGTCACTGAGTATGTGGGTGATTAGGATGCTAAGACGAATACGGTTGTTCTGGAGAGACTGCTGAGAATTCGGGCAGAGGTGGCGTATAACAGTGTGAAGTGGTCAGGTAGATTGGTGACGTGGTAGGTATTGTTGCAGTGGTTGATGATGGATTTGATCGGACAGATAGAAGTAAATGCAGCTGTTCTATGACATGAAACAGAAACTGGGACTGGGCATAGACCCTCTATTGTTGGTGTCGAAGCTGATGAGTCTACTTCGTCGCCCACCTGTCACAATTGATGAACAGTTTGGGAAGCATGTGTCACTTTCTACAGTTTAGTAAAGTGTTTCAGAACTCATTTCTCAGCGATTACAAGTTGCCAGCTCTGAACAACCTATTGACGTATGTGTGTTTTATTTGTCTCCGAAGAGAGTGGAAGTAGTGGGAGCAGTCGACAGTTTAAGCAAGGGAAGCATGTATTCTAGGATGTGAATCAATGGTTAAGAGGTCGTATGTCCAGTAACTACAGGGACGACAGTCTCACCAATAGATAAAAGTCTGTGTCAGACGGTGTTCATTGAAAATCCAAACAATAGGTGGACAAGTATTGAACAGCACATGCATGTCAAACTGCAGCGTTCATGTTGGGGATTGCAAAGTGACTTTTCCTTTCATTGTTGTGCCTCAGTTGCGGTAAACAGTACTTGGGGATGATTTTCTGAGAGGGATGAGTGCTGTAATTAACAGGAGGAGAAGGGGTATTATTACAAAGTAGGGATCAATCAGGATGTATGAGAAGAGTGATATAACAGGGATGGATGTAGGCGTCCGAAATACCAAATCTAATGATGTTAGATAGAGAATACGATGATCTGTTGACTGGACATGGAGACCCTTACAGTTATTGTGATAAGGCGAATCAGAGTCTACTATGCCACTCCAGTACTAACACGCGCACACATACACGGACCACAAGTATTCAAAAATCAAGAATGATTTTTAG